GCATTATTTTGAGGCTTGAAAAATCTGTGTTTAACTGCATAACCCTTTTTGTAATCGTTATATGAGTTCAAAAATCAAGATGTACCCTATTTGTTAATGTTTTAAATATCTGTTTCTCAGCAACTTAATAACAGTAGATAGCCTATATTATTTAACGTGTTGCATTATGTAAATGTGTATCAATGTTAAAGAATTGATTATTTACAATCGCGTTTCATCTCATATTTTAAGGGATGTAGTGTTCATGCATCTGCCTTCTTCAACCACTGCTTTATGATGATTTATAATGGATGCTTAAGAAGTGTTTGATAAGTTCATTTATAAGTTAATATGTTAATGTTGTAAATTAAGAAGTTCTCTCTTGGTTTAACTATGTTTAACTCAAAGCAAAGCCACGACGGAAGAGCTAGTTCAGTAGAGGTCTGACCTATCAGCCTCCTAACCAAGATTGAAAAAGAAATCCACTATACTTGAGATTCCCTGGTAAACAACTGTTGAGCAAGTGACAAATCTGTTTGATAAAGCTTATCAGCTCCGAATCGTCTCCAAATGTGGTAAATAAGATGTTTGTGCTCTTCGCCTAATGCAGGTGTGGGAAATTATCATAGGTGTTTTACACCTATTATCTGTATAGCATATAGCCTACTTTGTATATTTGCATTTTTTAATTCTATGCAGTTCTCGTCTGGATGGTTGTTGCGCCTGAATACCCCGTTTTCCAAGATGGCGGCCAACCACAATGCAACGCTGCTGCGGTTGGCCCGTTTCACACGATGGTGGGAAAGTTTGGCGCTAGAAACTGATTCTGTTGTGACTTGCGAGAGTTTACCAACGATATCAATACTTTGCTAGAGTAAGAGAAATGAATACATCTGTATATCTTTCTTCCTCTGCCAATTAAGGATCATGGTTCCGTTTTACCCTAGCGTAAACAATCTTCTCGAACTCGATTAAAATGTTTCGCAGCCCAATTTTTGGGGAAACAAATAAAAAATTGTGTACATTTCAATATTTGCCCTTCTTGAAATAATGTTTATCTGTAGGCCTATGTAGTATTATCAATCAGGGGATTCAGGCTGATGTTTCTGAGCCAGTATTCCATATTTTCAGTCTCCGGGGCTCGATATAGTTTTCAACGTTTTCGTCATTTGTTGATCTATTCCATCGGTAGAACTTTTGGTCATTGCTAAATAATAATGGTTAATTGGTTTGGTTTGCAGAAAGTCCTTTAGTAGGTACTATAGTAACCTATATAGGTTACTAAAAACCGATTAGTGACACCTTTTCTAGGGATTGATTTACTGTAGCCAGTTATAGAATAATGGCGATCATAGGTGAATATTTTTCATCCGATTAAGTTTGCTATTAAGTTACTGTTAAGTGTTGCTGCCAAATTAAGTCGTAACTTAAAAATTGTAAATTAATCCAATTTAGAGACGGATACAATAATTTAAACTTAGTTTAACTTACAAATTTCAATAAAACAATATGTAAAAAATAATTAATTATTTTACAAATGATGAATTTAAAATAAGCTATTTCATTATTATTTTCTCGTCAATTAAAACGTTTATTGTTATTTGAGCAATTCCAGCAACAGTGCTCTAAATAGTTTTATTTCAAAAAGGTGCGTATTTTTCTTCTAAAATATCATGGAAACAAATCCAAACACCTGTAGTATCCACGCCTTTAATAACAATCAACAGGTAACACTGTAGTTGTAGATGATCCATTGATGCGTGCGTGTGTGTGAGCGTGCGAGTGTGCGTGTGACGATAATACAAGGTCGTAGTGACGTCATCACAACACCGGTCACGTGACAGCCGGAAGTTCTGCCACCTCTTCACCTCGTCTTCCGTCGACCATTGTTGTGAACAGCTGATTCGATTGACCCCACATGCTTATTTATGGAGAATGTCCTAGATCGTTTGTCCCTTCAAAAGAGCTCCGTATAATGGAGTGATGATTATAATTAGGAAACACTGTTTCCGTCCAAGGAGGTAATAAACAAATCAGCTTGTCACTTCAGGTAATCCATCTTGATCACTTGAGTAGATACATACAACATGGATACAAAAAAAAACAATACTTGAACTAGGTTTTTACATTAATTTATCAGCATATTTTAGGCACTGAAATGCACTCTTATGCACAATCTGTATGTTATTTAACTCAAGGATCGTTTTCCTGAATGAAAAGTATTTTTTTGATTATCACACAATGCCACTGGTGCGGCGTAAAAACTAAAAAAAAAAAAAAATGGGTGATTAGGAACACAATCGTTTATTGGTATAATTGGTTATAGTTTCTACGAAAGACCTCGAAACGATAGGCAGAGTAGAAGATTTTCACATTTCATGTATGTTTCAAAGGGTTAAAAAGTGTTATGAAAATAAGATTAAGAAACACGTATTTACAGTATCTCCCGAAATTTGAACCGTATCTCCAGAATCAACCGCCGATCCTCAAGAAATGACCTCTAAAATACAGTATACTAACTAGTGATGTTCATAAATTGCAACAGTTCTCTTGACTGATTCTTGACATTACCACTTTTTTCACCAGGTGTTCCAACATTATATTATTTTAGTCATTAACGTTTTATAAAATGTAAATTTACGTCCTGCTACATTCTCACAGAAGAAATAAAAAGCTGGGTGGCGGGCGAGGCACCCGGCCACCGGTAATGTTATCTCTAGGCGGTATATCTTCGTGATAGTCTTATCAGTGGAAGGAGTCTTGGTATCACTACGGAGGTGATTTACACCCGCCCCCTCCCCTCCCCCTGACGAAATCATACGCTCAACTAGCTAGTCGAGTGTATTTTGTTTTGATTGTATATTGTAACTGTCAATAGATTGTTTGGTTGGTACATCTGTGTTTAGTTGTACGATTCGGTAAATGGATTCGACTATTGCACTACCGTAGTTTTTGTTAGGTGTTGCCTCTTAAACATGAGCAGCGAAAACAGTTGTGTACGTACGGAGATGAAGTACTGTAGCAGATTTTATTTTTATTTATTAAAATTTGTCAACTCGAATGAGGACATCATGTTCCCACAGAAAATGGTTCTAATGAATACAAATATAATTGTATCCACGAATATTGGAACAGATAGATACTGTATGGGTCATAAACATAAACACATTGTGCCACTGTTCCGAAAGTTTTATCAATTTTTAATGGAAGCGTCAAAACACTTTCAAACCAGCTGTTACGGCTATTAGAAATTTGGACCAGTGACGTAATTTGTTTATGTTTATGATCCATACCGATTCTGTTCTAATATTCGTGTTTATCATGTAACAGCTTGAATGTTTCATTACAATGCCCCATAATATCTGCATTTAAACGTATTGGAATTGTCTATTGCCCGGTTACACGTAATGCGCAGATTAAAACGTGATAGCAAAACAATATGAAAACCATCGTATAGATAAAGGTACAACTCATCAGGTATATCATGACCGGTGGGTTGCGCTAGTAACGTAGCCTAGTAACGCACCCCACCGGTCATGCTTAACCTGACGAGTATAAGAGTAATCAGAGACAGGGGGAATCCCTTGTCTGTGGTATAAAAAATGTGAAATATTCATTGTTTGCTTTTTAATTTCCTTAAAAATATGTACAGTATAATCATAGATTAAAGAGTGTTGACATTACTTGTTAGTCAATGGTATAACGAAAAATATATTACATGGACCTTTACGATTCTTGCTCATTTTCCAACTTCAACTACTTTACTACCAAAGGGCTCCATGTATTATTTTCCATCTTCTCAAAGGAACTGACTTTATTCTTATCATTTGGACTTTTGTAGACGTCTAAACATTCCAAGCTTTAATTGTTCCCAATCTCGTTGGCCATAATTCAAACACGTAAAAGTAAGTAGAGATAGAAAAGTAAAACCGTAAAACGAGGGATACAGACAGTGTGCAATAAGGCTATTCACCACTTATCTACTTATAGTACTGTGTATATCTGCTCGCTGTCCGTAACACTTACGGACCTAATGACTTTTCGCTCTTCCGTTAATAAATCGACGAATGTATTGTTAGTTACCGTAATGAGGCAATCTGTTTTATATCCCGTTACCTTTGTTAGCCAATCTGTAATTAGGACTCTGTCAAAGACGTGCAATTATGAGCAGACTAATGCGATGTCCAAGTTCGCCATGCTGTGATAGTAAAACTATAGGTAAAACACATGATGTTTTGTTGAATTCCAAAGGAATTGATATCTGAGATGCAATGGCGTGTCATAATGTCAACGAGCTGATTGATTACTTATTTTGTAAGTCACATTTAGCCAATTTTGTAACGTTTTGAAAAGTTAAAAAGTATATGTGGCATCACGGTTCGTAACTGCAAACATTATCTGCCAATCAAATCCAGAATGACAAGTGATGCTGTATAATACAATAATACCTTCACTAAGACAGTGTGTATAGATCTCACATTTTTGAACTTGTTTCAATTTTATTTTCTAGCTCAGACTAGGAAAAACACTTAAAGAAATCTTGTACTTATTTTCTCGGGAGATCAGTGGTGTAAATTAAAGAGTATAAGTGTCACCGAATATTCAAAAACATAATTTATCCCAATGACATTTCTGTTAAAAATTAATATGTACGCTGCTACCCAGCTGAAAAAGTATGTTCACCTACTTATATATAGCAAATTGTCGGTTCAATTCTGAAAAGTCAAGCATTTTGACGACTCCTTCATCATTGGGCTTTTTTTTAGTAAAAACCTCGCTGAGCAACCAGCTAATATTAGTCAGTAGCTAGTTACCATCTATTTCATTCAACACACATCACTTCAATACACTCGTCTCTACCTTGAATACGCAACCTGGAAATTAGCGTCGTAAAACCTAATCCCTCTAGAGGCTAGAGTAACAAATGCATTTTGTTGACTGTGAACTAACTCCAGTTTTCTTGACATGTAACCTTAGTCCAGTTTTCTTGCCATGTGGCCTAACCAAAGTTTCTGTTACAGGCATGTCGGAGAGCACGGCGTAGTCTGAGGAACGCACCAAGATGATGGGCACAACACACTTGTGTGTGTTCTACGTGGCGACGGCGGGCCAGCAGGGCAACAACCTGGGCTCGGACGAGGAGGAGATCGTACTCCTCATCTATGTCATCATCGACATGTCCGTCAACAAGGTCAGTATGAACAGAAGATCTTCAGCAAATATAAACGCCGAAAGACACCAAATATTCCGTAGGCGTATGAATGCACAAGAAGAAGATAAAGGTACAAGAAGCAATGTTTGAAGGACTGAAACTAGGGCTACGAGAGGGGTTTGATCATTAGGCGTTTAATAATCAACTACCCATGATCAGGAAACTATATGACTGGGTAAATAAGTGGTTATAGTACTCGCTCGCCAAAAGATAGCCGGCGCGATCCTGAGAAAAGTAGCTTTTTGATGGTTTGAAAATAGGTCGATTTCTCCTTGGTCAATGATTTTTGTTGACGGCCAGCTAAAAAAGAGCCTATCTTCATTAGAGACAAATCTAATGATAACGAGAAAATACCTAGTCTATCAAGTAACAACACTTTAACGCCATTCGCTGTGTGATACGTTTATGTTCCACCTCAAACCACGCACCATGATGTCGGTGTCATGGTCCAGCTACTCAGTAATCTTTACAATAAAGTATTTGTGCAAAATGAGCTGAAGTCACAAATCACAGGGGTGTCATGATTGTGAAAGTACTATATAAGATGCTTACACGTTATATTATAGCTCTTCAGACTTTTACAAGGTACTTAGTAGGATACTTCATTAGCCCATCAGGATCAATGTGGCATTGGGAAAATTACCCGAGCCTTTTCCAGGCATAACCGATTTGGAAGAGAAAGCTTACAGGCCCCAAGGACAGACTTTAACGTTGTAAACATAGCTACAGTGGCTGAGTAAGGCTGCTGAGTCAGAGAGTGAACTCTATCTTGGGAGGCGTGTCGTTGATCTATATTTCGAACGATAAATTAAAACAACTAATCGAGTATATCAACTGGAAATAAATGGACTGACCCAACTCAATAATTCATTTTTAAATATCTGGTTTGGATGTTGGGTCTAGGTTCAGAAACAACAAATGTTGATATCTGACTTCCATGTATTTGACGAAGAATCCAATTAAAGACTACATTTCTTCTACTGGTTATGAACCATGATTTTCATTCTACAACTGCTATGTTTGGTTCTTCATAAATACCTAGTTAAAACTGCGTTGATTTTCTTTCAAAATGTGCGTAAGCAGTAAAACTAAATTACTGGTGTTTGGTTTTGACTATTCTTCAATCACCGTAAGGTAAAGTTATCACATATGCGCTGAACCTATAGGGCCGGCGCGCACTATCCCGACCACGACCACGACCACGACTCCGACTGGTCGGATACGACCAGTTTTATAATAGGAATAAATGGAGCAGCGCGCACTGGTCGACTGGTCGGACCCTGGTCGGGCCCTGGTCGCACGACCAAAATTTTCCAGTTTGGTCGGGCCCGACCCGCTGGTCGTTGCAGCCAAAAATAGCACACAATGTAATGGGACGACGCGCACTACCCCCGACTTGCCTCCGACCCGACCAGTACACCACTCAACCCCGAGTATTCCTAGACTAATCAAACGGTGAGCACTAGTTTTTTGCGCCGGTCTGTGAAGTGACTCATTTGGTAAAATGTCGCAGGATTTTGACACTTTTGAAACCTGTCTTCATATTGACGTAGCTCTTCATAAAATGTTGCAAAATGCCCTTTCAGACCTAACAGTTAACATTGGATATACCCAGTATAGTGTCTTTTCCGCTTAACTTACTTACAATACAAATGCACCATAACAACTACTTCTTCAACAATCATCTTGACACTGAAGTTTGTAAAACATTCGTTGCCTTGGTCGGGTCGTGGTCGGGTCGTGCTCTGGTCGCATGGTGAATGACAACCACCGGTCGGGCGTTTGGTCGTGGTCGTGGTCGGGATAGTGCGCGCCCGGCCTAAGATAATTTTATCACCCTGGAGCGTTAAGTGTATGTTTGCCAAATGTTTGTGAGTATTTGAATACACCATTAACTATTATGTTTCCGATTCCAAAGCCAATTTGATTTACTCCCTAGTTATGCTGTTGGTGTTTTCTCAGTGTATTTTCCGCTTGGTTCAGCAGTATTGCAACAGCCTATCCTTCATGATGGATACGTTACGTGATCCCCAGTCTAAGCGATTTATAATTGCTTATGATCTAACGTTCAATTAGATCGTATATGGAAATGTAATTAGAATCTGACCATCGCTCGTCCAGCCATTTCGAAATCCACGATGAACTTTTCTGCAGCCTCTATGTCATCGGATTAGGAGCGTTCATCTTGTGTGACTTGGCCGACAGAAAATCATTTTGCATCAAACTTGATATTTCATATTCAGAATAATTGTAATATTGAAAAAATAAACGCTGCGAATGTAAATACAGAAATTCAGCAACTAAATATTCCCATCGCAGATAATCTGCAATCCAAGATAATTTCCAAAAGGTCATATCGAAATGCTATTTTAACTTAAGGAAATTCACAGTACATATCAATCAAGCAAATTCAAGTAACCTTAATTTTATAATAGTATAGATGGATTTTAAGGACATTAAATATTGATATTTTGGTCAAATTTTGATTTAAAGCCTACAATGAAATTAAGAATTTTTGAATGTTTTTAGACGTGACAATAAATATGTGATACCTGTGGAAACTAATGTGGTAATGCCCGATTATGTTAGGCTATAGTCATCGATATTTATAGTTTGTTGGCTGATTTTCTACGTGTCTTGAATGGCAGTTTTGTTGAACCGTAACGAATCATTCTTCGTGACGGCCACCACAACAAGCTTCCTCATCTTCTCATTTTCCCTTGCTGCTTTCCTTGTTAAGAGTGATGTGATCTGTCAGTCTCCATAACGACACCTTGCGCATAACTCTTCAAACGACTTCAGAGATAGCACTGCACCATTCCTTGATACACACAAGCCCTTAGGTGGCCCGCTTCTATCGCTTCTGCCACCTCACATTGAGGGTGATATCGATTGATACAGTTACGAAACTGAATTCTGTGTGACTTGTCAAGATGTCAGCGTCAAGATGCAGGTTGTTGACTCAGCCGCTAGATATGAATGTGACACTGTTCAACTTACATGGCGTGTCGACGTGTCGTCCTTGGTGCCGTTTGCCCCACCTCGGGTTCCGGGTTCCACGAAATGCCGAGTGCCACTCTTGGCAGTTGCACAACACACGGGCAAATGTCGGTCAGGTCTAAAAAAAGAGTTGACGTCAAACTCGAGTATTTGTTAAGAAAACCGGATCAGAAAGTGACAAGTGATCTTTGAGAGTTTCTGTGGGCAGGTACGATGTTGAGTGTGTAGAAAATGTAGATGGCCCTGTTCATCTCACACCACCAAAGCAATCACATTGTTTTTGTTTTGCTGATCACGGCCGTCTACAAGGTGCAACTATTGGTTGGGGGCGACACCCCGGCAATTAAAATTGTTTTTAGGAGCGTAGCGGAATAGGCGTTTTCCTTTTGTAAAAGTGTCAATGCGCCAGAGATGTCTCCAGAAATGCGTTTAGTTTCCGTCGATTCTTGATAAAATACTGTACGCCTTAAAACTAACTGTGGGGTTTACAAGGTCCACATCGTGCAATAAACAATGGCACGCAATTGCATTCCTCTGACCGCCTGCAGTTCCAGTAAGAAAGAACTATCCACATCAAATCAGGTCACAATTTTCAATATCCGCAATTCCTTTCTAAAAGGATGGTTAGGTGAAAAAATAATATTTTCACTTGTTTGTGCCAAATGGACATTGAGTATCAACGAGTTCGCCAATGAGAATTCATCCACAGGAAGTAATGAAGACTCTCAGAAGCTTTGTGACAAAAATGACTGTTGCGGGCCTCTTCATTGCCAGTGTTGCTACGGAGCCAATCTGTGTGTCCTAGGGAGTTGCAGGCCAGGTGGTAGTTACAATGATGGTCCATTATCCTCGGTGGCTGCGCTCTGCGCTGCAGCAGATCCGTCGCCGTCGGTAGCAACAAAGTAGCGCGGCGACGTTGCAATCCGTTCCCTTCTCTCGCCGCTATTATTTTGGCAATTGGTCGCTCGCCATTTTGGATGCCGGTTTGGTACGTTGCCCTTCCCCCTCCATCGGGTTGGATCCGCTTCTTCGCCGTTCTGCGGGTTCATATGGAGAATTGCATGTATTCGCAACTTCCAAAGATAGTTCTCATAGGGAATAGGTTGGATGTGTGCATTCTTTAGGTAAACTTGCTGCAGATGTATAAAGAAATGAGTCCGTGACCGATAAGTTAATGAGGTTTTTGTTGTATGGTCATCGCAAGAACTTGAAGAACTCTCATTCGGCATTGTGGCATCACTGATGTCTTCAATACATGAAAATTAAACATCCGAATACATAAGTGAATACAGAAACGGTATGGACCATAGACTAAAGACAAATAAATTACGTCACTGGCCCAAAGCGAACATGTTCCTATCATCATTTTTAAACATAATGTTCAAATACCCTATAGTGCGTTCAAACAGCCGTGGCACCTGAGGGATTAGGAGGCCCCAAGGGTTTCCATGGGGTGTCCTAATCCGTCAGGTGCCACGGCTGTTTGAACGGAGTATAGTCGCAGCAATCCTTCAGCCTAAGCGAATGTTTATTTGCCTGATCAGATTTTCACTGAAGTTTTCCTTTAAAATGTAAGGTTTATTCATTATTTAAATAACATTGGATTTAAAGACTTCTTAGGTTTGCTAAGACCTCTCTTATACAAACTATTAACAAGTTGAAAATAACAAGAAAATACATTTTCGCGGCAAACCTTAAATCAACAATACAAAAAACATCATGTATATTTTTCACGATGGAAAATTACCACGTAACTGAATTCTAAGGTGCAAATTCACAACTTACTTTAGTTCCACGGCGCAAAATCGCCTCACCTGAGGTATTAGTTGGGGAGGAGGGGCTCCAAACCTGTTCAGTCACATTCATTTTGAGTTTTGTTCCTCGCAGCGCCACTTATTCACCGGGTGTCCCGTAAATCGGTGGTCGTGGTCCTCGGGTTTTTGGGAGGCGTCTGTTATATGTTCAGTAAATTATCTTGG